TTAAGTAAAAATTTTCTTTGTAAGAGTTGGAAATTTTCGGTCGCTACAAAAATGGATTTTTTTAAAGAATATGTAGTTAAAAGTAAGAAAATGAGTTTGGTTATGAAAATAGTGTTTGTGAATCCATTGAATATGTAATTAAGAGCTTTTTTGATTCTCATTAATTGGGAAAAATGAGTTTTGAATAATGTTTTTAGGAAAATGCGTGGGTAAAAAATAGGGTTTTTTTTTTTTTGGTATGGTTGAAAATAATCTTGTAGCAAACAATAAAATAAATTAACAGGTGTCAAAGAGACACTAAAAATATAATTTGATCAATTTTTAAATATGCCAAAAGAAAACTATAAGTATTTACGAGATTGTACCCCTACTCGTCTCCATAGACAAAGGTTGAGACATCTATCGTTGCACATATAAATTAAAGTGTACAGCTAGTTTGACATCGTTAGATATGACAAAATCGAGATCGTTGATTATTTTAAGTATTGTTGAAAATAATGATAGAACTATGTGCCACATCATGGAGTGTAAACAAAACTATCAACCAAAATGTAAATGTAGCAAAACCGTAGTCAACTAATCCCTATCCTCCTTTCTCATAGCTCTTAACTCCAACTTCCCTACCTTAAATCTCTGGTATGGTTGCCACAAATATGAGCTACGGATGGCTCCCTTGCGCCCCCCGAGACATAGCTCAGTGGTGCAAAGGATATGAGTGAGGTAGTCTCAACTAAGCTCGCAGTCGCAGTGTGAGGGTTCAATTTCTGCCTCTTACAATGTATGAAATTGGACTATTTGTGGGCACAAGTATGTCAGCTCTTGTACCCTGACTTGTTGAGGTACATCCAACGATTTACCTCCTTCACAATGCTCTAGGGGCGAGGCGATGAGTGCCCTCAAGGTTGGGGTTCAACCTTTTACAGAGGGCTCCCTTGCTCCGTTAGGCCCTTGGTCTCTCATTTTTCGAAGAACTGTTTAATGTACTTTCTGCTCATGCGACCAGTTAAAAGATTTGCCTATAAAAGTTAAGAATATCACAAGTTATTCTCGTAATTAATGATTAAAACATGTTTATCCGTTGGGAAAGCCAAATTCCATCATCAAAAGACAAGATTCTGGCGGTGGGAATTGGATTTGAACTTCGAAAATGGGACCTGAACAATATTTAAAATCAACAATAGGCCAAAACGTCCAAGAAACACTCGAACAGCAGGGCATTAATTAGGACCCATTATGCAGTTTATTTTATACTTGAGGACCCAGATAAAGAACCCTGAAAATAATTTTTTGAAATGCGCCAATATAGCTAAGAAAAGTGCTGATGTATTTTGAGATTAATTACATTTTACTTTTAAGTGATTATTAGATTATATGGCAATCCTGGAGTAAAAGATTAAACGGCACCAAACATTCTTAATAAAGAGAAAGAAACCCAAATTTTGTTAGACACTACTAAGTTTAGCAGTCGTAATACTTTAATGGATCAATTTTATGGCAACGCACTTAAAAACATTTTTTTTC